CGTCCCGCCCCCGCCGCGGCCGCCGCCAGCTCATGCGCCGAGCCACCGAGCCGCCCTCCGCTCCCCGTCACTCACCCCACTCCAGAGATCGCCCCGCGCAGCATCCGAGATGACGCGCTGCTCCTATCGTGGGGTTTCGGCGCTGGCGAAAGACGGACAGACGTGATGGGCCGGGAGCGCTAGAGAATCTTATTGCAACTCCGTAATTATTAAAGTTCCGTAGGCCGGGTAGCCCGTGTCCTGGGTTCGCGTCATAAGGATGACGGATTTTTATGACCCCAAATAAATAGCTGAGTTAGCCGTCGCCACTACCCGGATGAGAATCCTAAAGACCGACCGCTATCACCAGTGGTTTAAAAAGTTTTAAATTATTCAGAAAATGTTACAAAAATTGAAGTATTAAAGGGGGCAGTTCCTTCCGTCCTTTCTCTCCCCTCAGTTTCGCATATGCTTCCACCTTTCTTTCCAATCGTCCCGCGTTGAACTTCCCAGTCTTTGTTGTTATCAGAACTGTATTTCCCGTTACGCCACCATGTGAGGAATATTGTTGAGAAACATTCGGTGAAACTGAACCTTCTGTATACCAGGTCAACATAAATGCCATGATGTTGTGGCACCACTCGGATATCTACAGTTACATCAGAATAAATGTTAAATCTTCTAAAACATGCATAGGGTTCGAAGATAATCACTTTTTGCCCAATAAATATGTGATGGGAAATCTCATTAGTCGAAAGGCTGTAAGAAGAACGTTTTCCTGACTTGTGCCTCCCAGGTTCTCTTTATTCGCCGGTTGACCAGCGACTCCATGATTCACTCTCTGTTTCCCAATATTAACGTGAGTGTGGCGTACATAGGATCGTTCCCACCCAACAATTTGAGGAAAGGCGTTATGCCACTGTGAGAGTGTACAATCATCGATTCCAGGACCATCGCTTGTAGCGCAGTACGCAAGTAAATAGAAGCAGCGTTTTTCGGGTTCTACAGAAACAGCAACACCGCTCCTTCAAATTGCAAAATGGGAAATTGGTCTTCAATGTTTGCCGTATGTGGAGAACTGTGGGTGGATTTTTCGGCGCACGTTAAATAATCTGGAGTTTCCTCACTGCGTCATTTGCACTGGCAATGCCAAATTTTAGAATACTACCATTTCGAACTCCAGATTCAATCACGTATGGGTTTAGGAGAATTCTCACAGTAATTTACCAGCGGACATCATGGAATTTCTGCCTAAATATTGTTGCAGGGCTCATTAGAGATCAGTTGCTTGGGTTGTAGATTTTTTCCACCCCCCACTCCCCCCGTACGTTATGGTTCTGCAAAACACTGGAGGGAGAACCACTTGCTGTCAGGCATCGTACGTGACACGACGGGCACCGCCGCACCCGCCGTTCGGGCGGTCAAGTAATTGGCAGAGGCAGCCCGGTTGCCTGATTAGTTTTGACACCACGATTTTTGTCTGTGGTGTCAAATGAAATCCCCGGTTTTTGTAACGCCATTGATAACGGAGGAAGATCTGTCGGCCAGGATTCCCCCCGCAGACTTCTGCATCCAGACTAAAAGAGGGATTTTCGAGAGTGTGTTCGGAACGGGCGCCGTCTTTACCACGTTTGCATCTAACTTAATGTTCGTCATTTTCAGCATTTTTGTAACCAAAGCTGAAGAATAAAGATAAAAATCTTAGTATCTCATTTCTACTGCCGTTTCTGTTCTTGTTTTCTCAAAGTTTCTCTGTCTGCCAAGCACTATTGCAGAATGAGTTGCCTACCTACCAGGCGCTAAATGTCAGGAATTACGTGTGTTACTCCATATATGAAATTTACCACCATATGTTAATAGGCAAAAACTGGTCATATTTGACTTATTCATGCTCTAAAACTTTGTATCACATATTCTGAGTCTTTCTGTTACAGTCGTTCCAGGCCAGCAACCTATTTCTTGACAGGTTCTAAAAATATGGCATCGCATGTACTCCTCCGCCATCCAAATGTGCTCTACCCGTAGAGAATGGATTTGCTACAGTCGGTTAGTAACGCCCCGGAAGTATCAATTCAATGAGTACAGTTCAAGGATAAGAATAGTTTCCACGAGTTATTTCGTCTGTTGCGATATCGCCTCTAAGAAGAATATTGTGAAAAATAGTGAAAATCTTATGAAAAAAGCACATGAGAATAATAAAATGAATTCCCTGATCGAGAAATTATATTTTTCGTGATAGACTTCACGCGTATCTAAGATAAACTTCACTTTTGTCACGTTTTCAATTAAACTTGCAATAGCTGAACTTTTAATAAAAGAATAATTCTTTTACTACGCCAAACAAATTTCAAGCTCGCCGCTCCGGATGGCCGAGATCGCTAACGCAGTAGTACCGAAGCGATCTCGTACCGAAAAGATCGCGGGTTTGAGTCCCGCCTCGGGCATGGTTGTATTGTGTTCGTCCTTTCACCCTCTACCATCATCATATAGTATCATCCTCGTAGGTACCATACCGTTACGCGCGATAGTAGTCGCTAATGACCTAGATAGAAGTTGATGTGACCTTAAATAACAATAAATTCAACGTTTTGCAATCTAGAGTTAACAGTGAAAATCGGACATCTTTATGTGTATGTTTTACACCATTCTGACAATAAATTTAAGGAAAAAATTTGGAATCATTTTTGAGAAAAGTTTTAATATATTCCAATGGCTTCATGTAAAGTATCCACAAAAAGTAATGTTTTTCAAAATCGCAGAGGTTCGACTCAGGCCAAATCGACAGTGGACAATTTGGGAAAAATCCTATGCATTGTTATAGGCGCTAGTATACATCGGACAGATAGACGGACATTTTGGGGAAAAAACACTTTTTTGGTATCAGGGAACCCCAAAATGTGTATTTTCGTTCAAATCTCGAAATCTATTTTCCGCAGCATTACATAACATTCTCTATACTTATTACTCCGTATATTTGTACGTATATGAGAAAGTAATAATTAATCATATGACTCAATCGAGCACAAGGTGGTTTAGAATAAATGTTTCAAATTTCCAGTGAATGTAGCGGTCCAAAATGATCGCTTCGCTAATGATGAGTGATATAAATTTTCCTATAACAAAGTTAAATATGAACCTTTTTTACTCCCATTGTATAATTCTGTCATTTAATGGCCGCAACTCATTGCATAATGATAATCATTATGATATGGTTTCTTAACCAATCACAGAGAAGTTTGGAACAAAGTATTGACACTTAATTAATTATTGAGATCCGTTTGAGAAAAATGTTTTGTTTTGTGCACATAAACATTGCATTTAATATTTTACTATGCTTCTCAGTTTTGATTTCTTTTATTTGTAGATTTTTTTACTTAGAATACTGTTTAAAATAAATTGGATCCTAATTTCACTTTGATCCTATTTGACTAAATCAGTGGTAGTTATTGGAGGGAATATTTTACTGTCGTGAAGATCAGATGTAAATAGTTGCAAATTTGTACAGTTGTAAATAGTAAATAAGATTAAATAAATGTTATCTACATATGTCCATCTCTTTATTTTCATTATTCATTGAAGTTAACTGTTTTCAAAGAGTTTCGTTTAATGGAAACATAACTTATGTACTCCTTTTCAGGCGGACTGGCAAATCAAAGCTAACTGTGGCAGGCTAGGTTAGGGAGCTATCGGCTAGGAAGGCTTGGCTGAATCCTGCATGTCAACTGACACGAAAAATTTCTATTTACTTTTAAAAGTTACCATATGTTGTAGAAAAACAACCGTATGAAAGTCGATGTCATGTGAAGTTACGATACTCGCTCATTCCTCGCCCATATCGTATTATCACACTTGTGTAATAATATCCATCATTACGTCACCGTTTCATAATGTACTGTTTGCCCCTGATTGGTAGGAAACACGTGTAATGCTTAGTAGGTAAACGAAATCTCTTTGTATCAGAACATGTCCATGGAGTGTGTGATCTCTGATTTCCTTATCTCCCCGCCAGCAATGACTTCGCTTCCACCATCGATTTCTTAGCCTTTGAAGACACTTCTCCACTTTTCTGACGAATAGCTATTTGGTTTTGATGTTAATTAGGTCAGAAAACGCTGTGACTATGGAGGAATTTTTTCGTTTTCTCGCCAGATTGGAATCTCCGTATTGTGGAATCCTACGATTGAAAACAGTTTCCTCATTTAATTTCGGAAAAACGAGATAAGTCTTCACAGTCGTTTTTTTGCGAAAATATGGTTTACCATAATTTTCGTAGTAATTCCATTCACGTTTGTAACATCAAAATGTGTATTTTTCACATTAATAGCATTTTGAAAAATCTGTCTTTCACTTCATCCGAGTAAAACCATGCCTCTAAAATATTTAGATTGTAAAATAAATAAGAAATTTATATTTTTTAAATTTTCTCATTCTTCTTGGAGAAGTGGTCTTGAAGCATGATCGATTAAACGTTGGCTTCGAATGTGTTAGTATAATCGTAAAAGAGCTCTGATAACATATTTTTCCTGGCGTTGTCCTTTGTTACTTATTCCTAGAAGTGCTCATATTGTTTTAACCACACCTTGGGCCAGATGGGATATAAGATGGACCCACCTTTCAATATTTATTCTCGACGCTATATACTATTTAATAACATTTATATGTTCATTTTGTTTTAAAGGAACATTTAATGGAATTTAATTTCTTTTACTATTGTATTTTCTACTTCTATTGGACTTGCAAGTCTGCAACATACTTTAATATTCCCCATAAAATTACTAGGGCTTCAAGAACATTATATTGTTCATTAACAACAAAATGCAGCTTTTCTCTATTTCACGCACAATATACCACTTTTTTTTACTTTTTTCGAT